TTTCCCTGTAATTGCAGCGAAGGGTGGCTGGGCCAGGCACAGGCCCCAAAACTGAAAACAGGGAGTCTGTCTCTTCGGTGCATGCAATGCCCCATCTTCTGGGCTCAGGGAGTGTGGAGAAGGACACTGCCTAAACTGAATGCACAGGGATCAAGAGCCAGACCTGATGGGGGGAGGGAGAGGGAGTAAATTGGGATAAGGGGCCAGAGGTGGAGGGGGGGGAAGACTGGCACTGGAGGCTGGCAGGGAGGGAGATGGTGACTGGGAGCCACAGAGGGAAATGGGAGGGTGGGGGGAGACGTTGAAGCTGGGGCAGGGAACTGGGATCAGAGACAGAGCTGGGGCTGGGGAAGGAGGGCTGGAACTGTCAAGACTGGGATTGGGAACTACTGGGCAGGAGAGACATATCTAACAAGGAGCCAGGGTGTGAGGGGACAACTTGGACAGGCTGGGCAAAGAGAGATGGACAAGAAGCCCGGTGAGGTGGGGACATTGAGACTGGAGGAGGAGCCGAGGGTGGTAGATGGAGATTGGGAGCCAGTGGGAATTGGGAAGGTAGGCAGGGGGATCAGCGAGTAGATGATGGGGAGAAAAACAGTTTAGATGGAGATGCTGGGAGGGGAGGAACTGGAACCGGTGGGGCAACGAGACTAGGACTGGGTGTGGGGAGGGGGGCAGATGGTTGCTCAGAGGGGAAGACTGGGACTGGCTGGGCAAGGATACCTGGAGTGGGATGAGGAGGAAGAGAACTGAATACTAGGACCAATTAGATGAGGAGAATGGGTCTGGGATGAGGCCTGTAGGATTGCCAACACTGTATTTCAAAAATAAGGGACTGTTCTCTTCACATCCCCACCCCACCCTTCCTCCTGATATTACTATTCTCTTCATCAGTAATAATGAATAAGCAGTACTCATCTACATTCACCAGGCGTATTTCTACCTGCTTTTTGCAGCACTCAGCAAGTCCCAGTCTTGTTGTACAGAGATGAAAAAATAAGGGATGTCCCTTGTAACAAGAGATGTTGGCAATCCTGGGGGGGGGGGGAATGGGCAGAAGGGTCTGTGCCCACTAGAGACACTACCCTACGGAGCCTGGAATGCAACCCAAAACTCCTGGGGTTCTCAACATCCCTCAGCTGTCAGCAAATATCTGTGAAACCTACTGGCAAAGTGTGCATCTCATCCTCCACCAGCACTGGGCCACATAGAGGAAACACCTACCATTGGTACTAGTTACTCTCTTACCTCAAATGGCAGAGGTCTGTGGTGGATCTGTGGTGGACCTGCTGATGAACTATGTGGATGGCAATATGATGCCACATGATGTTATTTTGGGGGAGGGAGGTTGTTAATCTGGGAAATTCCACAAATTTTTTGTATGTAAAATATCATTTAGGGTTGCAGAGTCAAGCACGGAAAAGTCAATCTTAATTTTGGCATTTTCTGACTTTTGCATGCTTGACTTTGCAACCCAACTAATGTTCTTTAATGACATGAGAGTGAGTGTAATTTTTAATATACTGCACACACCTCTATTCTTCAGTTGTTACTCAAGCACAACGCTCATTGACTTAAAAGAGCTTTGGAAGATTATGGTATGAATTGTTATATATATTCTGTGTTCTGCAACTAAAATAATGTTTGTAGCATCCTTGGTTACATATCCAACCCTCTGGGGTGACAGAGCTGCTACTTGCATGCAGGAGAAATACTTAACAGCTGAATAGCACCAGATAAATCACGATATGATCCCACATAGCTATTTTTCCTCTCCACATGGCCTCTTAGGTCCATTTACTCCCTTTTGTACTGCATAACAGAAGAGATGATCTTACCCAAGAGGAGCAACTGGGCAGTGGTTAAACTAATAGGGGAAGAGGCCAAGCTGCCATCACAGAAATTATTCTAAAATGTCTTTATTCAGACAATAGTAGAAGCGCTGTAGATCGGAGTCTTGCAAAATTCCGGCAGTTAGACTAGGTTAAGCAAATGGCATTTTCTCTCCCTAACAGCTAGGAATCTATGGATTACGTTAAACACCATTACATTAAAGAGTTGTATTTTTAGGAAATTCATCTGTAGTAAATGCCAAAATAATATCAAAATCTTGCTATCAAGAAGTAAAATATCTAAAAACTTAAATGTGCTTAAAACTCAATCATGAAGCTCTCTCTTCACAAAAAAAAAGAATATTTCAAGTATGAGAAAGCAGAGAAATTAACTTTGGTTTTATCACATCGTGAAGTCTATTTGAAACACAGAACTTTTTTTGGACTGACCTACACCACACCTTCATGTTAGTGCTGGAGTGTAACTGGTCTTATACTGCAGTAATACGTTATGGCCAAACTGTGACTAATTGACAGTGCAGCCAAATGTCAACCATTACAGCTGTACATATGTTGAAAAGACTGTATGACAGTGGCATCATAGTACATACAGTATGGAGAAAAGCTATTAAGGATGTCATAGCTAAATAAGCCATTACATGTATTCTTGGGAGAGCGTATATTGTTGCAAAATTCAATGAAAGACTTTTTACTCACAACTATTGGACTACCAATATACTGAATTAGCACTCTGTGCTATATCTGCAGACAGAGTTCTCATCATCTATTTTGCTTCTGTTGTGCACCCAGTCACACAGGTTTAGTAATCTACATGGAAGAAACCAATGATTTATCAATCAAGGTGCAAAGGAAATGAACAGACTGATTATACTAGTCTTCACTGTTTCAAATTACAGACTGTTCATGCTGTAAATTAAAACTTCATATAAGGAGGATGCAGAGGGACTAGTCATTTGTCATTCTCAGACACACATCATGCACTAATGCTAATTATCATTCTTGTAATGGATCTCTACATTTGTGTGTGCAACCCAGCCTCTTGAAACAGAGGTCAGAATTCAGTGTGTTTTATGGACTAGTGTGTGGTCATTGCTTAGCAAAGGAGGACATTCTCTGAAGTAAGAACAAGAGTGTTAGCTGGTGGTGTTGTTTTTTCCTTAATGGCACAAGGACTTGCTAGTGTCTCAGGAGCACACACTGGATTAACTGTGACTTGGAAATCCTACAAACTAGGAATCGTATTTGACACTTGGTTTCCTTTAGAAATTACTGTCTGGGAGTATTTACATTTTCTCAAAAAGTCAGATCCGAAAAATCCCACATTCATGAGGATGCTTCATCTTAATTTTTAATGTACAAATCCCAGAAGAAAACTGTATCCCCAGTCAATATGCTGTATTATTATCTGTCACTGCATAGGTTAGAAACCTGGATAAAGCCTTTTAAACAACTGTGAGAAGAGACATTAATTGGTGACAAATTATTGAACAAGTGCTTCAGAGGAAATCTTTCTATACCTTGTAAGTAATTCCCTAGATAATATACTAATGCAAAATGATAGGGAGCATCTATTTTTTAAAAGAAATTAAATTTTCTGACTTTCAAGTTAATTTTTTATTTTTAAGACCGATATTAAAGGATTTAGTTAAGGCAGAAACTTTATAAGTGGCAAAAGGACAAAACTATTAAACAATGATTATGGATTAAACTATTTAGTACAGAATACTGGTTCCTCTCCGCTTGCTTCATATCGGTGTAACTGAACAACAATAACTCACAACCAAATAGGTAAACAAACAAAAATGATTTAGACACTACCGCCACTTCATGCAATACAATTAATGTATTCTCAGACAATTGAGATTAGTAAATTAAAGCCCACCTACCTTCACAGGTCCATACTCATAATCAGATCCCTGCAGGAGATGCAGAAAAGACACCATGAAAATATTCAAGGTTGCCCACGGTTTGTACATTCTGATGTTTAAGATCCACAGATTACTACGCAGTTGATATCATACAGCTGGAAGGCTCTGTTTCGAAATGCATTTCTTGCAACAATTTAAAAAAAACTTCCAGAATTTCAGTTGTAAATCCAAACAGAATAAGCACGTGAAAAAGTAAACTGTTGTCTCATCCAACACAATTATAATTCACCTAGACAATGTCATTTCCTAGACTGTTCTTTAGATACATTTGAAAAAAGTTTAAGCATTTGCTTGGTTTTATCTGATAATCTCACAAGTAATCAGGTAATCAGATTCACATTAATGTTATTAACTGATCTTCCATCTGGACTCACAAAGGGACTCAATTAATTTGTGGTCCAGAAACTTTAAAAATATGCTATATTCTGTGCTCTGTGTTACAGCTGCTTTTTAAGATGGTAGTATAACGGCCAATGTTTTGAGCTACAGAGAGCTGTAATCCAACTCTGTATTAAAACTTTTTTCACAACCCTCGTGGAAGCTTGCAGAAGCATGTGTCTTAAATCTGATACAGACTTTGGCAGAAACAGAGTCAAAGTTTGGCTCTAATCCCATTCTGTCCCTACCAATAGCATAGCAGTTTTTAAACTAACTGATGCAATCTAGACTGCCATTATTTTAAAAAGATTACCTGAAACATGAAACTTCAGCACACGTTCTTACACAGCACACGTATTACAATAGCTAGTTCCCTCTTTTTTTTTTAAAAAGGGGAGATGACCACATACTCTTTTATATCTTCAGGGCTGTAAGATTTGCTTAATGGAGTGTCACAAAGGAAAGTAAAAAGTTTAAATAAATGATTTTTAAAAGAGACCTTATGAAGCAATAGATTTAAAATGAGAGTCTTTTTTTTTGCAGCAAAAGAGAAACATATTTCTGTATACCAAAACAAAATGACTTAATGCACTTTCCACCCACATTTGCATATATATATGCATGCAAAAATGTAGAATTAACCCTCAAAAAACAATAATCACACAGACATGCTTGGTAATTAGGTATATTAAGTATATACTACTGGCCTGATCTAGTAATTTTTATTCATATGAGTAGTTCCACTGAAGGCAACAGAACTACTCACATGTGTAAGGGATTGCAGGATTAGACGCTTATGATGTAAATATGAAACACCCAGCTACACTCTTAACATTGTAGATCACTGGTTTCCTATCTTTGACTTCCAGGTGGCACCTTCTCAAATCCATTTTTTGCATTTCTGTAATCATCAATGGCTTGTATAATTTCTTCCTGAGTATTCATCACAAATGACCCTAGTATAGAAAATAATTTTAATCCAGTATTTTCAGATGTGATCTGTTACTTAATAGAGAAATTATTTTTGAAACACACTGTTATATTATTTGTGGCTTTAGTCTTTTACCACCTGTTTTCTGAATGCAACATTCTACCCTGCCAACCAGTTTGTCCCCAGTGACTGTGGCTTGTCCCTGCTGTACTGGTTCATTTAGGGTTGGCATGAAGTTCTCTTCCCCAGGAGGGATGTGCTAAGTCTTCCTCTCTCCCCTGTCTATGTGTCTGTTTCTCTCCCTCCTTCCATTTGCAAGGGGAATCATAGGGTTTCTTCAGGTCCTTTGCCAAAGGGGTAATTTCACATGTATGTATAGTGCCCTTTCCCACTACATTATAATCAGTTAATTAACTAATCATTTAAATTCAAATACTATTTAATCTAAAAATATTTTAAACTAAAATGCCTCATTTAACATTTGGCTTCTCTGCTATCCTTCCCACATTGTTATCCATCCCAAGTACAGCCTATGACCCTGTTTGCTTTACTGTAAGCTTCCCTTCGGAGGCACTACTCAGTATGCTCTAGTGTGGGGTGGGAGTGTGTCCTAGTGGTTAGAGCACTGGACTGCGACTTGGAAAATATGGGATCTCTTCCCAGCTTGGCGACCCAGGGGAAGGCACTTCACCTCTCTGTGCATCAGCTTCCCCATCTGTAAAATGGGGCTAATGATAGTGATGTCCTTGGTAAAGCATTTTGAGAGCTACTGATGAAAAGTGCCGTATTAACAGTTAAGTCTTATTAATACCTCAAATTCTCAACAGTATCTCTGGAAGTTCTATGGCCTGTGTTATGGAGGAGGTCAGGGGAGATGATCACAATGGTCCCTTCTGGCCATAGACTCCATCATATTTACAAAATGAAGTTAAATGCTGCAGGTTTAGACAGTTATATTTAGACTCCCCTTTAAGAACCTGTCCCAAAGCCCACGTAAGTCAAGAGAAGGTCTCCTGTTGACTCCAATGGGATTTGAATCAAACTTTAAAGTTTTGAATAAAGGCAGGGACAAAGCAAAGAGTCAACAGAAATGTGGAGAAACTCTAACTTCTCTGACTTTCTAGGAAACAGCTTGCTCATACTATCCGCACCCATAGTTCCCAACTTTCCCCCTGCCCACCACACCATGTCCTGACTCAGATATCTTTCATTTTCCAGTGTACAACTGTCACCCATCGCTTTAGTCTCTGAGCACTTCCATCCCCTCCCCCACAAAAAAACCAATAGCAATAGTGAAGTCCCTAATGGATTTCATGGAGTTTTTTTCACGGTTCACGTTATTTTTAAAATGCTTCAAACAAACATCGATGGAAAAAAGTGAAAAGTATAGTACTTTAAAAAATATAGTATATTTTATTTTTAGAATATAGAAATACAAAGAATACACCTTTAGTCCAACAGCACTATCTCATATATAAACAAACTGGCTGGGGAACATGGGAGGCACTGACTTTCATTTTCAATCACTGTATTTGTGATGGAGAGGAACATAACAGGCTTCAAAAGCAGGCAGGTATGGGAGATGGCCCACATCCTTTGAATTCTTTCTGCCAGTTTACAAGACAAAATCAACCAACCAACCAGTGGTTTGTTTACTAGAAACGCTTACCATACTGTACCATGGATTCTTTAATCAGCTCACCAGCGACTAAGACAAAATAGCTTATTTCAGGACCCTACACTGAAAAATTGAATGAATTAAATAGCAACATATATTTAGATTATGTTATTATAGATTATATTTAGACAGACATTTTACAGACTGTCACAGGCTGGCTGGCCCTTTATGGGGAGATAGGCTCAGTCTCGCCTGTCACAGATTAGCCTCTGCAACTGATCCTGACTGGCTGTGGAGCAGGTGGCTCTATTCATTTATCAGACCCAGCTGGGGAAGAGCTGGGTGATGGGGGAGCTGGGAGACTCAGCTGGAAGAGAGCTACAGGGGAAAGTGGTCTCCTGTGACTGGCCCTGGAAGGAGAGGGTGGCATGGCCAGAGCAGGCTGGGAAAGGTCAACCCCCAGGCAGATGGCCTGGGAATAAGTATCCAGTCCAGGGAGAACCAGACTAGGGAAAGGTCTCCAGAGAAGAAACCCTGAGGACTAGTGGCTCAAGTCTGGGCTGGGTCTTCAGGAGAAGTTCAGCACTGTAGGAATGGACACAGTGAAAGGTAGCCTAGGAGCAGCAGAAAATCCTTTGGTTTTATACTCTTTGAACTGGAGACAGCTACTTGACAGGGCCTCCTTAAGGGGAGGTAGGTCTGCTGCAAGATGGCTCTTAGTAGGCCTCATGGGAGCACAGGGAGGGGATGGTGCCACACAGACAAGACAAGGAACAGATAGTTTTCCTCTGGTATCAAATTCATTCTGTATAGTATCTGCTCACATGTACTTTAGTGTGAAAATTCAGGTGAGAAAATAAATTCCTTTCAGGTATTTAACAGATTATACCCAAGGACAGGTCCAGACCAACATCTCCACACGCCAAACAAAACAAAAAGAGAAGCACTGGAAACAAAAATCATCTTAATCCAGAGACATGTAGCAAAACATTCAGAGCATGATTCTGTGAAGTGTGCTCACTGTAGTCCACCAAAACCAATGGGACTACTCACATGAAAAAGGATTTGTGGGATCAGGCCCTAGATTATCACCAATTAAACTGGTAGTTTCAGGCTGCAACAATAAAATATGAGCTCAATAGAAGCAGTTAATTAACCCTGACCTCAAAACAACAGATGACTTCATCACATTTTTTGCATTTGAAACCATTAGTTACAGGATTTTGCACCAATACAAGTTTCTGTACTAAGCAGAGTTCAGGAAGCTAATATAATTCCCAGCTAAAATCATTAAGCAAGTATTTGTAAATTGATCCTATGAGGGGATCTACACATTCCCTATAACTAATCCACACACAGAAGACCTTTTGTTCCACTTACAATTACAAGGAAAAAAAATTGGGTCATTACCTCAAGTGTCTCAAATAAGGATCTAATTTAGATTTAACAAGATATTTATGACAGCAATTAAATGCTGATTTTAGGTTTATCAATGAACAGACACACATTATTAAACTTCTAAAAGATGGTTTTAGTAAACACACTGTTAATATCATGACTGTTGCAACCAGAAACTTCATTCTAGGCATACTAGCACAATGTTTTGGAAAATGTAAAGCTAAATACTGAGTTTGATCTGTATATATATTTTTTTATTACTAATGATCAAACAACCAATTTAGGCCCTGATCCTGCAAGTTACTCCATGCTGTTGGACCCCTGAATGCAGGCAGAGAAATGGGGCACTGTGCCATCACAAGATTCTATCTGTACCAACTGCTTTTCAGGATCAGGGCCTTAGATATCTGCAGGATGATTGTTCAGCTTTAGCACATATGAATGACAATAACCATGAATTCACTGCTCAGTGTATAGATAGGGCCAGATTATGCCACTAACGCCTAGCCCAGAACAGGAGACAGTGCAAGGCCCATATACCCCAACAGGAAGATCCAGGAGGAGAGCTGGTAAAAAAAAAGAATGCAGAAATAAATCATCAAAATGTAGAATACTTTGAAATTTTTCAAACAGCTCTCTAAGGGAGACACTGTGCCCAAATCTCCTGGAGACAACAACTGCTGTGCCACCCCTTATTTCATATTTATATTACAGTAGCACCTAGAGAGATTTTCCTGTGGATCAGGGCCCTATTGCACTAGGCGCTATACATACACATCCAAGGAGATGGTCCCTATGCTGAAGGGCGTGCAACCTCCTGTCTGTAGCAAGCCAGAGTTATGGGCTGCTATGGAGGAGTGGTGTTCCAAAACCCTGCCTCCTCTCTGCCCTTTTGATGCAACTCACACCCTTAAGGGCACTAGCCCACAGAGCCACTGATCAGGACATCAATGGCTATAATTAGGGCCCTATCAAATTCCTGGTCCATTTTGGTCAATTTCATGGTCATAGAATTTTAAAATCATAAATTTCAGGATTTCAGCTATTTAAATCTGAAGTTTCACAGTGTTGTAACTGTAAGGTACTGACCCAAAAGGATATCATGTGGGGGTGTCGCAAGGTTATTGTAGGGGGGGATAGCGGTACTGCCACCCTTATTGCCGCACTGCTGCTGGCTGTGGCGCTGCTTTCAGAGCTGGGAGGCCAGAGAGCAGTAGCATGGTATGGTATTGCCACCCTTACTTCTGTGCAGCTGCCTTCAGAGCTGGGTCCTCGGCTGGCAGCTGCCACTCTCCGGCCGCCCATTGCCACCCTTATGTCTGTGCTGCTGCTGGCAGTGCCACCTTCAGAGCTGGATGCCTGGCCAGCAGCCGCCGCTTTCTGGCCAGCCAGCTCTGAAGGCAGTGCAGAAGTAAGTATGGCAATACTATGACGCCCCCTACAATAATCTTGGAACCCTGCCACTGCCCCCTTTTTGGTCAGGACCCCCAGTTTGAGAAACGCTGGTCTCCCCTGTAAAATGTGTATAGTATAGAGTGAAAGTACACAAAAGACCAGATTTCACAGTCCATGACACGTTTTTCATGGCCGTGAATTTGGTAGGGCCCCAGCTATAACTGTGGCTTCCTGCAACAAAGGAGATAAAAGAGAAGGGAAGCTCTTTGTGCTCTCTCTCCTTTGCACACCTCTGCATGGGCTGACTACCTTGTGGCCCTTAACATGTGTTTATGTGACATGTAGTCAGAACACAGCTGAAATGGTCACCAAACATTAACTACCATGTAGTGCAAGGAATTCACAATTTTGTTTTTCTTGTTATTTCAAAAATGCCCTCAAATGTTCTAAAATAGAATAAAACCCCCTCGCTTTTCATAGTAAAAAAAATCTAAGAGGAAATCTAACATAAGATAAGGGAAGAGAAAAATATAAAATATGAGGTTTAAAGAGTTAAGGCGCTGGACAATAGGGAAAAAAGGAGGAGAGGCAGGTTTCTGGTGGAGTGAATTCAAACATCCAATGCCCACTATAGCAAAAACTTGCTCACATGCTGGAATCTGATACTCTGCTGTGGTCCTTAGAGGGCAAGTGGTGTCAGAATGTAATTACCTGTCCAGATGAGGGTTATGGAGTAGGTAACAAATATAGCCACTAAAGGTGTAAAAACCAAGATGAACAATTCCAAGTCAATGTGACACTTCATAAGCAGTCAATGTACAATAAGCAAGGAAAGTGTAATGTGATCCCAGTGCCCTGGAGCAGTGAACAAATGTGTTGCTGCATACTGAAGAGACTGCAAGCAAAAGAGATGAACTGCTAGATGCTTTGCAAGGAGGAAATTACAATAGTAGAACCTCATTGTCTTAAGGACATGTACTGCTGTTGCACAATCATCGTGGGACACAATGGGTATAGACTGCACCAATTGCACAACTGAATAAACACTTTTGGACCACGCCAAACACATGATTTGTCAAGGAAAGACAAGATTTCAAATCACATCAACTTCCTTCACCGTACTCACTGTCTACAAGCAATTCCCCTTAGGGAGCAAGCAAGAGAATCCACATAGCTACTCCTGCCCATGACTTCCGCATTGCTAGTGCTGCCGACAAGGTAGATATATTTGCCATTTAACTTACCCCTCACTCAGAACAACGTTACATCTCTCAGCAGGGAATACCATAGAATCATAGAATATAAGGGTTGGAAGGGACCCCATCAACCAAGTCGATATACTATCTGCTGGGTTTTTACTGCAGTCATTTGCTTACAGATTACACTAAAATTCTAGAGTGAGGCAATCAAAGTGGCTACTGATTGAGAGCCCACAGGATATCAAAGAAATCGGACGGAAGATTCCTCACCTATAGTAGCCTTGTGCAACTGAACAGCTTTGCTAACAGATTGTAGCATGACTGCACCTTGGGGTGGAGGTCAGATTATAGCCAAGTGGCAATTACATTTCATTGAAGATGATGTACTTTATAACAGAAACAGAAGATGTAAGATTGGTTTCCCCATATGCATTTTAGACTCAGGCCAAACCCTAAGCAGTTAGTGGGACCATATGAATGAGTAAGGTGAACAGAATTCAGCCCATCATGGCGGAACGCAGAAAAAACCCTCATCTCTGTGAACTAATCATAGTTACATAAAAAGTAAGTGAAATGTTGGCATTTTTGGAGTTTTAATCAGAGCTCTTGTGCTATAAAATTTCTGGTGATAAGTGACACAAAATACCTTGTGTTATAAATATAAAGGGAAGGGTAAACACCTTTAAATCCCTCCTGGCCAGAGGAAAAACCCTTTCACCTGTAAAGGGTTAAGAAGCTAGGATAACATCGCTGGCACCTGACCAAAATGACCAATGAGGAGACAAGATACTTTCAAAGCTGGAGGGGGGAGAGAAACAAAGGCTCTCTCTGTTTGTGTGATGCTTTTGCTGGGACCAGAGCAGGAATGCAGGTCAGAACTCTTGTAAAGGCTAATAAGCAATCTAGTTAGATATGCGTTAGATTCTGTTTTGTTTAAATGGCTGATAAAATAAGTTGTGCTGAATGGAATGTATATTCCTGTTTTTGTAACTTAAGGTTTTGCCTAGAGGGATTCTCTATGTTTTGAATCTGATTACCCTGTAAGGTATTTACCATCCTGATTTTACAGAGGTGATTCTTTTACTTTTTCTTCTATTAAAATTCTTCTTTTAAGAACCTGATTGCT